GTACAAATAAAAGACCAGTAAGACAAAAGGATGCCCCCAAAAGCAATGAGACAAAAAGTCTACAGCAATACCACTGAGTTCATTTTGAATTGGTCATCTACTCCTGGGGCATGGAACTGACTCTTAAATGTAGTTACACCCAGTGACACTCCACTGGAGAAAGCTAAGTTTCCTTTTGCAAGCACATGTCAATTGCAGATAACTTCTTGGTGAGGGGTGGGAGCTTTTGTCTACTACATCCCCTTCCTCAGCATTGGGACCCCATCTGAATTGAACCTGTACCGGTCCTGTGCATGCTACCACAGTCTCTGTGAATTCACATTCCACCTTTTTTGAAACAGGTTTCTCACTGACCTTGAACTCCCTACATAGGAGAAATTGACTAGTCAGTTTGCCCCCCAAGAATCTGCCTGTCTCTCACTCCACAACCCTGGGATTGCAAGTGCACACTGTCACCATACCCAACAGGGTTTCACTTTGTGGTCCTGGCTGACTTAGAACTTACTCTGTTCAACTCACAGAGATCTGCTCATGTCTGCCTCCAAAATGTTGGGATTAAATGTGTGTGCAACCACTGCTGGCTTGCCCAACTATTTTTAATTTGAATTCAGGTCTTTGTGCTACAGCAAGCACTTTACCTAGGCATCCACCCCCCCACACACACACATACCACACACACACACACACACACACACACACACACACACACACACACACGCGCGCGCCCTCACTGGACCACTTTTTATGGTGCTATGGACTAAGCCAGGGCTTGTGGGTCCTAAGCAGTACTATACCACTGAACTGCATCTCCCAGCCATAGAAAGAAATTTTGGGCTCGGAAAAAAGAGGGGTAGTAAATATCTTCTACCTTCCTGCAGGAACACAGGGTCTAGCCTACTCATCTAACAGTGGTGACCTCTCTCACCTGCCATGCACCCATGCACCCGGAACTTCCCTTCTCTTATCTCCCTGCTGGCTGACCAGCAGGCTCGTTTTGCAGGCTCCCTCGGGTTCTGGCATTCCTCAAGCCTAGGCGTGCCTTCTCTGTAATCTTGTGATCTGTCAGCCGAGGCAGCAGCAAGGTCTAATTGCTTTAACTCAGGTTCACTCAACTGTCATGTGGTCTGGCAGCCCCGGCTCAGATCTAGAGCCCCAGATGTTGGGCACTCTGGGGAAGCTACCCTGCACCCTCACCTCCATGCAATCAGAAGCCATTGCAACTGCTGCCTGCCACCGGCCTCCAATCTCCTACCTCCCAGAAGGGAGCCAGGCAAAGCCAGCTTTCAGCAGACTTCTGGAATGCATTAGGTTTGGTTTGAATGTTCACAGGGAACACCCAGGCATGGAATTGGTGTGCCAAGAGTACCAATATGAAACATCCTCTCTGTGAACCCTCCCTCTGCCTCCCACCCCATGAGAGGCCTGGCTGTCCCCCTACAGTAGTTGGTGGAAATTACAAGTAAATGGTGCAGAAAAAGCAAGCCACTCAGACACAGCTGAGCAGGTGTCCTGACCAATCTCAGTCCTGCAAAGCAGGCATCTGATGAACACACGTGCTCACTGGAGTGAGGGGCTTCTGAGGTGTCCTCCTTGCCACAAGGAACACACCCTCTTGTGCTGATGCAGGCTCCTGGAAGCCACGAGTTGCTGGAGAGTCCCTTAATCCCGGGGCTACTGATTGGTCCATGGCTCCAGAGGCTGGCTCTAGGTGTACTACACAAATGTGGTATCTCTGACAACCGGAGACAGAAGCATTCGGCTCCCCCACCGAACTCCTGAACTGAACCTCACAGACAGAGAAGGATTGTGCTCACACTGGAGTGGAGGGCCACAGCTCTAGGCAGACAGTGTGCCCAAAGTGGGCACCAGGGAGAGGACACATCTGGGACCTACACAGGCACAGCCCTGGCTTTAAGGAGCTTGGTCTTGGTAATGACATGGAAATGACACCAAGTAGGCAGGGGTGCAGACTGGCACCAGGGTGACATTGTTTAAGAGGGATCTAATGAGCTTGCTCTTGGAAATGACATGGAAAGTTCAATCATACCAAGTGGGTAGGAATGCAGATAGGTACCAGGGTGACACTGGTTAAGAGGGATTGCTTCTACTAGTCTATAGCACATCAAGATAACTGTAGTCCACAATTAACCATTCTAAAATGACAGAGAAGATTAAGAATGTCCACAACACCAAGAAATTATAAATGTCTAAAGTAATAAATACACCAGCAACCCTCACAGTCATCACAAACTGAAATGTATGACCACACCCCACAAACATGCATGAGTACTGTGTATAACTTACAAATATCTGTAAGGAACGGCTTAGTGGGTATGGCATTTGCCTCGCAAGCACTAAGACCCGAGTTCAGATCCCCAGAACCCATGTAAACCGGACACAATAACATGTGTCTGTGACCCTAGCACTCCTACAGACAGGAGAATCCCCAGAAGCTCGAGGACTCACGAGCTTGGTGCATCCTCCAATAAGCAAGAATCTCTGCCTGTTCCAAACACGGTGTAAGGGAAGGACCAACAACTGAGGCTGTTATCTCACACCCCCCTGTACACACATGCACCTTCAAGCACACACATGCATCATTATTTACACAGAGGGTTTAAAATGTATACATGTCTTTATGTTCAAGGGTGGGGTTTGTACTAGAGCATTTGCTCAGCGCACATAAAGCCCTGGGTTCCATTCCAAGGCTTCAAAAAATTAAACACAGACACACACACACACACAGAGAGAGAGAGAGAGAGAGAGAGAGAGACAGACAGACAGACAGACAGACAGACAGACACAGAGAGACAGAGCCACAGACAGTCAAACCAGTTCTGCCAAACGGATGATGTCTTAAACGCTGGAGGCACATAGGAAATGAAGTATGTTTTCAGCCCGGAAGTTTACAAGGGCCTCTACTGAGCAGGACAGACTGAAATAGGCCTTGACAGATAAAGAGGCTCAACAGGCTGGACCCAGTCACACCTTCCCTAACTAACCATAGGGCTCAGACATTCACAGTCCAGAAGAATGTTCTGGGTGGGTTGTTTGTTTGGGGAGGGAGTTACTTGTTTTTTGTCTGTCTGCCTGCCTATTTGTTTGTTATGCAACAGGGTCTCATCTAGCCCAGGCTGGCTCTGAACTCATTATCCTCACCTCCAGAGAGCTGGGAGTATAGGTGTGAACCACCACACCCAGCTGTGACCACATGTGATACACACCACCGTGTATACAGTAGGATGTGGACAGAGTCCAAGTTTGAGGCTGAGGAAAACCAGAGAACCAGAGAAGGGTGCAGGAGCTCCTCCTGCTCCCCTCTCCAGAGGCTGTTCCTGACACTTCCCCCAGATACCTTGCATCCCAGTCACCCCCTCCCGCAGTGCGCCCGCTCAAGAGGTGCAAGATGCTCTCCACTTCTAGAAGGAAACAGACTTGGTTACTGTTTATATTCCATTACATCCGTTCCAGGAGGGCAGGCCCCAGGCATCCTCTCCTGCAAGCCAACACCCAGTACTGGCTCATAAATAGGAGGCTCATGATGAACGGAAGCCTAGGAGCCAGACACCAAATAGCTAGGGCACAAGCGGCAGGGCACTTAGAAACCAGATCATCCCAAGTCGCCTCCCTCAAAAGTACCAACTGTCATGAGGCAAAAGCCACACATATTCCAACACATACTCAGGCCCCCTACATACACAAGGCATACTTATACCCCACAAATGTACATCTACCACACCTTCCACATGTACATGTACCCAAGATACATACACACTCCACATACTTAATCCCCCATACTCTACACACATACCTACCTAGTCACATACTCACCTCATATATACCAGCCCCCCCTTAATACATCATTCATAAATGCACATTCCACATATACACCTACACACACACACACACACACACACACACACACACACACACACACACACACGGGGGGGCACAATCTTTATCATATTTCTATGGATTTCACATATTCTCTATGATCATGATCACTAGGAAGCAAGCAATTAGGACAGAGTTCCCTCTGTGTGCGTGCGTGCGTGCGTGCGTGTGTGTGTGTGTGTGTGTGCAAGTGTGTCCGTGTGTGTGTGTGTTTTCCTGTGTCCCCAGAGTTCTTCACGTGGCTACTAAATAAATGGTTGGCAGAGAATCATTTACAATATTCCCTGCAAGTGGCCATCCTTCTCCGGGAGGGTCTTCTGGGCGGAGCTCCTAGTCCGCTTTAAGGCCCCCTTTGTGTGGTGCTCTGCAGACTGACCAGCTGCTTTCGGTAGCTCCGTTTCTTCTCCAGCCTTTGTCAACAGCTGGTTCACACACTAGAAATAACGGCTCCATAATTTCACCATCCCCCTCTCACCGTGGAGGGGGAGGATGCTGCAAAGACTCACTCCCCACACTCCAGCAGGACTGTGAGCTGAGCAAGTCGGAAAGAAGGGCCCCATGTGGTTCAGCAGTCTCAAAGTCATCAAATGCTTCATGAAGGGCGACCATGATGTGACAGAATATGGCCTGAGGACCATCTGCTGTTAACCTTTGCCTTCCACCTCTCCTAATCCCGTGGCAGAAAGTCACCTGACATTTAATGATTGTTAGAAAACATCAAGCAAATACCAAGTAAGTGATCTCTCCTAGGAGGTAAATTTAGAGTGTTTTATTCAATAAAAGCTTCAAGCCAGTAATCCCAGCACTCAGGAGGCTGAAGCAGGAGGACTGCCAGGAGTTCAAGGCCAGCTACATAATTAAGTTCCAGAAAACAAGGTACAGAATAAGGCCTTGTCTAAAAGAAAAGAAAAGACTTCATTCTAGCTGGCGAAAAAAAGCAGGGAACATGTCAGAAAATGCAAGGACTCTTTTAAAGCCATTTTGGCAAGACAGAACATGAGAAAGCAGTCAGCTTACACTTACACACACACACACACACACACACACACACACACACGGAAAAAGTCCAATCTAAGGTGCCAAGAAAAGAAAGCCGACAAAAAGTGTAACTGGGCGGCGGTGGTGCACACCTTTAATCCCGGCACATGGGAGGCAGAGGCAGAAGGATCTCTGAGTTCAAGGCCAACCCAGGCTACACAAAGAACCCTGTCTCGAAAAACAACAAAAAGTTATTTGCCGGGTGGTGGTGGGGCACACCTTTCGTTCCAGAACTTGGGAGGCAGTGGGAGGCATATCTCTGTGAGTTCGAGAACAGCCTGGTCTACAGAGTTTCAGGTCAGGCAGAGCTGTTACTGCGCTGGTCTCACTACAGGCGGGCAGGGCTTCATGTACCTTTCACTAGCATACTCAGGCTGCACCTAAACTGAGCTGCCTAAGGACCAGGAGGATTTCCTAACCACACTTTAAAATACCATCCCAGAGACGTGTGTGTCGGTATCACCAAGAGATGCTGCTGCACAGCCCGGCTGCCCCGGGCACTGTGATTGAATTATTTTACTGAGAGGGGTGGGGACTGCACTTGGAGCACCACAGCAAGATTCCCATTTCTAAACAGGAGACGGGCAGACATGGACAAAGTGCTCAGGGCGTGCCTGCAGACTGCCCTCCAAGTCACAAGTTGTCAGGCTGAATGGACCGGGGTCCCACAGTGTTTGTGCCACAAGTCGATGGCCTTGCTCACAATAGCGTCCGAACTGTCCTGAGGGATCTGTGAAGAACAAAGGAATCCAATGAGATTTCTGTGTGTGTTCCTTCCGGATCTCCTCTCATTCTGTGGCAGACCTGTTTCCACGGAGCTTTCTCTGGTTTTCTGAAGGGGATAGCTGATTCGGAATGACTTAATGCTCCTGGGGACATGAGTAGCTCTGGTAGCAGGCAATCTTTCATTGCCCACTCACCATCTAGCCCTGGACAAGCACTCACCTCTAAACAAGGGAACAGCATCCCAAATTCACGAGCTGTTCACAGGATGACAGAGGATAGCTGTTGCATGGCACATGCCTGACACTGTAGGCCACTAATTAGTATAATAATGATGATTCACTTAATGAACACACACATTCACTTAGCTCTTGTATTACCAGGCCACACTCCACATGCTAAAGCTGGTTAATTAAAGGGTGACTCTGAGTCTGCTCCATGATGTACTCTATGCAGGCACAAGCCTTTTACTACTTATCCAGGAGAGAAGGTTCTAAGACGGAGGAGCTGACTGACTATGGCCTTTTTCAGCATGCACTAACATAATGCTTAGGTGCAGTAACCAAGCCAGCTGGGATTACACTAGTGGCAGTTAAAGGCCTAGAGAACCCAACAGTGCTCACTCCTACTACCTCCTGTTCCTGCTGTGCTCAGGGGAGGAGACCACTCCACCACACTCACCCCAGGAGGAGAGTAAGGGGCTTGCTGTGCAGACCAACATCCCCGAAAGAGACAGGGAGATGGCAATGCTGTTAAGGAAAACTAACTTTTTTTTTTTTTTTTCTGCCAGGAGTCAAGTACTTGACTGTAATCCCAGCACCCAAAAAGCAGGGGCAGGTGGATTACCAAGAACTGGAGGCAGCTTGGGGTATATAGATAGAGAGTTCCAGGCCATCATGAGTTACATCATAGGTCACAATCTCAAACCAACAACAAAATGCTTTTGTAGAGTAAAAATATGCTATTAATGTAACACAATAGGAAAATCTGGCTCACCAAGTTGCCTTCATTTCCAGAATCCAAATCCAAGGAGACAAAGCACTCACGTTTTCCAGGAACTCTGTTATCTTCTCCGCACTGTTCAATGCCATAACTTTTATTTTAAAGGTTAACAATATTTCTACGGCCACAAACACCAGGATCTTACAGGACCCACTGACAACTTTATCCCAGACCCTATAAAAGAGAGAGATCACCAAATTACAGGAGTGCAAAACTGATGTTACCCAGACATCTCAGATTATAAAGATCAAATCCCATTCGTTTTAAGTCCATTTTAAGTCATTTAAGAACTGTGAACTAATCAGTATCAACAACAGAATAGATGAACCACCAAGAAGATTCTAGACAGGATAGCTTTAGATGGGAAAATGAAGTTAACTTAAGGTTACTTCTGTGCCTGAATGTTCCAAATGCCTGCTGAGACTTGAAAAAGAAAAGTCTTAAACCAGGGTGTGTATTCTGCTACAGTCATGTAATGCCAGCATGGTTTCTACACACCACAGGAAAACGAAATGTCAGGCGAAGTCATTTCACTGCCAATGAGCCAGAATAGGTTCTCTAAACGTATCCAAGGGCTCCTTATGGGTGTGTATGTGACATGCCTGTGCAGGTGTACACGAACAGATGTAAACGCTTACAGAGGCTGGGGTTGATGTAGGGTAGCTCCCTCTACTGTGTTCCATGTTATTTTTTCAGACAGTCTCATGCTCAGTGATCCTCATGCTCTCATTGAACATCATTGGCTAGACTGGCTGTCTAGGGAGCACCAAAGACCTGCCTGTCTCCACAGACACCCCTGTCAGTGCTAGGGTTATAGACATGCCATCACACCTGGCTTTATACATGGGGGCAGGGGATGCGAACTCAGGTCTTCATGTTTACACAGCAAATACCTGTACCCACTGAGCCCTTCCCAAGACCCAGGAGCCAGGCTTTGATCTACTATTACTCTAAAATAATCATTTGAGAATTCCTATAACTCTTGAAGTTGGTATTAGACTCTATGTGCTAAGTTACACATTTTCTTCTAATGCTCTCTATACACAGACTTCCTCTCTTTAAAACACCACCACAAAGACTGGGGCTGGGCCTAAGAAATACCCTTAGCACTTGTCTCAAAGTGACTGAAGAAGCAAATTCTGTCAGTGACAGCCTTCAGCTCTTTTGATGATGTCATGAAATGTCTCATAAATACAAAGGTGTCTGTCTGTCAAGAACCAACACCTGTCTAGAAAAGAAACACGCAAGCCCACACTGTGTCAGACATCAGTGCCTCACAGCATCCACACAGAGGCCCACAAGTCTCATAGTCGTGTCTCCAACAACAAGGAGAACCATGCTACAGTTACAGAAACTGCTAGGAGATGTAGCGTTGAACCATCTTGTTCTGAAGCAAACTCCAATTTAGAGGGGTGATCACATAAGGCCCAGGAACTCTTTCCGATGCCAAGCTGCCTGTATGCAACGGGAAAAACACATACCTCTGTAAACTGGACTCAGGCAGGCATCCTGCGAAGCACCTTTTGAACCAGAGATCATAAGGAAGTTTGGACACCGCGGAACATGTCTTCAGGTGACTCAGCAGCCTACCATCTTCCAGATTCAAGTACTGCTCAAAAGCCTTGGGCTAAAGATTACATAGCAACAGTGATTACTCGTTTCCTGTGACATATTATCACCTCATGCTGCAACTTACACTGAAAAAAATATACATGCCAAGTAATAGAAAGCGCTAGAAGAAAAAACTTGACAACCATCAAGTCAGTCCTCACACAACGGTTTTTGGTCAGTACTGACAAGGGTGACTACACTGGAACTGTGGGCTTTCACAGGATGCAGGGTTCTTTCTGTGCTCCTACCACAGGACAATAACCTGGCAAAGTGTAATGGCTGTCACCCTGGTACGGCACTAATCAGATCCAACAGCTAAAGCAGAGTCCAAAACAAGAGTCAGGTATTATGGAGAGCTACGAAAGGCCCATGGCAATACTGGGTGATCTGGAGCAACCGATCTTATAAAGAGATGAAAGGGGGGAAGCTGGCTGAGGGGGCACAAACATCTAATCTCAGCACTCAAGCCTCTGAGGTGCAACAATGGGGTCTGAGGCCAGCCTGGCTATATAGGACAGCCTGTCTCAAGAAGCCAAAAGTAAGGGCTAGAGAAACTGCCCTTCTGATGTATAATCGTGATGACTAGAGTTCAGATCCCAGCGGCCGTGTAACAGGCTGGGCATCCCAAGCATACTGTAACCTCAGGTCCCAGAGACAGGAAGATCACAAGGGCTTGCTGGCTTCCAGCCAAGAAAACACAAGCCCAGGTTCAGGGAGAACAGCTACTTCAAAGGGATAGGTGGAGAAAGATAGAGGACACCCACCCCCTTTAATGACCGCACACACGCACGCACGCACGCACTCACGCACGCACGCGCACACACACACACACAGACACGCGCACACACACACAAACACACACACACGCACGCACACACACGCCTCACACACACTCACACACACACAGACACGCGCGCGCGCACACACACTCACACACTCACACACACTCACACACACACAAACACACACACTCACACACACACACACACACTCACACACACACACTCACACACACAAACACACACACTCACACACACACAGACACGCGCACACACACAAACACACACACGCCTCACACACACACACACACACACACACTCACACACACACACTCACACACACACACTTGACCATACTGTTCTGCATTGGCCTCCAGTACTAAGGAGGCTAAGACATTGGGGGGTGGGGGCAGAGGAACAAACTCTGTACCCAACATAAATGTGGGTGAGAATGTTTTGGAAGAGAGAAGCAACTCCACTTGGGTACAGCAGCTGGGCTGTCCAGCAGCCTCTCTCACCTACGACAACTCTAAAAACAGGATGCAGCCAAGCGTGCCAGCATCAACACTATGGCACAGAGGCAGCTCCTCCCCTCTCCAATGCCTTTAGTTGCTTACGGAAAGGCACTTTCTTTCATTGGGATAGCCACATTCTTATTTTTAGCTTGGGAGCAGGGGCCTCTGCCCACTGAGCTGTCTACCTGCCCCTTTCTCTCTACATAAGATTGCCCACATATATGTCTGTGATCCATGTGTGGGCCTGGCACCCACAAAAACTGTAAGGTGGTATCGGATTCCCTGGAACTAAGGTTACAGGTGGGTGTGAGCTATCATCTGGGTGCTGGGAATCATAAGGTCTTTGAAAGAGCAACAAGTGCTGTTAACCACTGAGCCATCTCTCCAACCCCGCCTCCAACTCTAAATTCTTAATGAAGAAAATAAAACCGGCCCCTATGCTCCCTGGCAGTGAGAGACCTTGTCAAAAGGGCTGGACTCTGGAAAGTCTAGAAGAGGCTGTGATGTGGTCCCCGGAAGCAGAACAATATAGCTCAGCACTCGCTGTCACTCAGGAACACTGCATCTCCTTCTTTCGTTCTTTAATGCTTTAAGTATTTATTCTTAATTTTTTAAAGATATACTTGTTTTGTGTGTGGGAATGTTTACCTGTATGTCAAAAGAGGGCATCAGGTTCCCTGGAACTGGAGTTACAGACAGTAGTGAGCTGCCATGTGAGAGCTGGGAATCAAACCCAGGTCTTCTGCCATAACAAGTGCTCTTACCTGCTGAGCCCTAGTAGCCCTCTCCTTGTTAAGGCTGGGTTGGAGATGGAAGCCTATGATGCAGGCTAGGCAAGCATTCTACCGTTGGCTCCCAGCACTGTCACTTGCAATCTTCACTACAACCACAGAGCAGCCTACTTTTGAGAAAAAGCAAGACTTTTTCTCAAAATAAAATATAAAGAAGAGCTGAGGGTGTAGCAAATCCCTGGGCTCCATCTCCAATGCTTCACCCGCTCTCATCCTACCTCATTCCCCCATTCCTGCTGTCAGCAAACAAAAGCAAAGGGTTATAATATAGCTCAGTTATAGAGCACTTGCCTAGGATGTGTGAAGCCCTGAGATTCTTTAAAAAAGGGTGAACTGGTAAATAAATAGTGTAACTTTTAATATTGCTGATAATGAATGAAGCAAATGGGAGTCAGGGCAGTCACTGTGTAACCTTGGGCAATTGACTGCTTCTCTGAGTTGCAGTGTCGTCGTCTGCAAACATGGAGTTATTAATTAAGTAGTTCATTAATAAAAGTCAGCGCTATCTGACATGAACAGTAATCCTGACATGCTAAGCAAGATGAAGAGGAAAGCAGGGTGCTGGAGAAGCCATGCTGTTACAAATCAGAGCCAAGGAGTGAAAGTCACCATGTCTGATATCAAAGATCAAGGCAGACAAGTCACAGCTAAGCTTCAACCTTCAGAGCATTTTAAGTCGGGAGAAAGAAATACAGGGGAGGGGGTTGTTTTGAGTTTTTTTCAGATGGGTTTAATATAGCCCAGGCTGGTCTTGAACTCCTGATCTTCTGTTTCAACCTCCCAAGTTTGGGGATTATGGGTATGTGTCACCATATCCAGCCAAAGAAACAGTTTTATCAATTGTGGAGTTGGCAAGGGATACATAAAATATAAAGTATGTAAAAAGAAAACACTGACAGATGTCACTGTATGAAGTTTACAATTTTTAAACAACAAACAGGGAGAAAGTACATTCAGCATATTAATACATAAAGGATAATATGCAGAGAATATTTATGATTCTTACAAAGAAAAAAGAAGCCAGGTGTGGCTTACAAAGAAAAAAGAAGCATCCTGGATCAGGAGTTCAAGGTCATCCTCAGGTACATAGCAAGTTCCAAGCTAACCTGGGCTACATGGAACTCTGCCTCAAAACATACATACACACAATGAAACCAAGAAAACAACAGAAATTGTAAAGCTGACCAATTTCAGTGGCCTGCATAGCTATGTCAGATGGCGTGAGAGGGCAGAGTCACTGCCTGAAGGACAAGACCAAGAGCCTGATACCCACGCTGCAGGCAGGCTCAGGAACTGCTTGCCAAGCTAAGACATAAATCTACCCAAACTACAATATTCTCCACATACTCAAGCATTTGTGGTGATATATTATTTATGATTTATTAAAGCTTGCCTGAAGATTCAGAAAGCAAAGTCAGCCACAAGTCATAGAAGTCAGGCACACACCTTTAACCCCAGCATCCATAGAACTAGGCAGTGGTGGTTCAGACCTTTAATCCCAAGACTCAGGAGAAAGGCAGATGGATCTCTGAGTCCAAGACCACCGTGGGCTACTGGAGAATATCTCAGGACTCGTGAGAGATATTTAAGACAGGTACAGGGTCACAGAGGAACATTCATTCTCCAGCCACATTGAGAAAAGGAAGACATTCAGTCTCAGAATTCTCCAGCCATGCTGAGTAGAGGCAGCAGGATCAGTCCATGCAGTCTAAGGCAGCGTTAAGAGCTAACGGTCCACTACTTTGCTTTTCTGACCTTCAGCTTGAAGTTTGAACCTCTGGGTCCTTTTATTTATTCATGCTACAAACATTGTCTTATAGCACCTCCCTAGGGAACACACACACACACACACACACACACACACGGATATGTTTATTGTCAGTGTGGGGCTATTAGACTTAATTACAGCAAATTCCTAAGGGAAAACACTGAGTAAAATATGTAGGAAAAGCCATTCTAAATGAGAGGCTGTCAATCCTAGCTACAATCTGCCTAAGGCTTTGAAACATTAGTATTCTAGGCCCCAAATGAGAGACTCTGATTTAATTGGCCTGCTGGAGGAGAGAAGGTGTTAAGAAATCTTTCAAATCTCTCATGTACTAACAGGAAGTCAGAACTAAAAGTCACTGGTTTATCTGAATGAGCCTAGAAAGTTCTCCAGATACTGAGTTACAAACAAACAAACAAAAGATGGTAGGGCCCATGTGTGGACTACTGCATGTGTTCATATGTGTACATGTATACACATGTGCATGCGGGGACAAAATGACAGGAACATAGAGTCCCATCCACCAGCTCTGACTGCCCTAGCTCTGGACTTGAAGAAGCAAGCTCCTGTCACTTGGACCTTCCATATACATGGGCAGACAGAGGGACCATGCTAGATAAGCCAATGGGTCTGGACCAAGGTCAGGACTACTCTAGAGCCAGTGAGGCTGCAAGTGAGTCCATATCCGGAGACCAGGCAGTGCTCCAACAGCAGATCTGAGTGGCTGCAAAGCAGACACGGGGCCCAATCCATGGGAGACGCTTTCTGGTCTTTGCAGAAAACTTCTGCCCAAAGTAATGTATGGTAATAGAGACTCCACCCATTGCAGCAGCAGCAACTGTGGTGAGTGTGTCCCTGACACTGCTTATTCCCAGCAACCCTCCCATTCTAACAGCCCTTACCAGCTGAGGTAAAGAATCCCGGAACTTGCTATGTAACTGCTTCACGAAGCAGCGGGTGATCCAGTAACAGTCAACGCTATCCTCCACCATCTCTTCCATGGCTTTGGCGATGGCAAGAAAGACTTCATCCTCTGGCTCCTGAAAGAGTAATAATAAATCTCAAGAGGGAGACAGCAGAAGGGAAGATGTGTGTCTTTACTGAAAATGTAACACTGCCCCCTGCATCCAAAGAGGACATATTAATAAACCAAAGAAAGGAAAAGAGCAGGGGAAAGAAAAAAATGGGCAGCAATAGAGAATCCATGGGAGTCAGCAGGGCTGAGCAATAGCTGGCTCTTGGGTGGGGTCCGCTGAAAGGCAGGCAAAAGCAGGGTCTCTCTCCACCCAGCCTGCCTCCGCACTAGATCTGGGTTCCTTCAAAGGGATGTGATGTCATAAACCATTTTGGAATATGTTGTCAGTATGAATACTGGGGAACTCCAAATGGGCTCAGTAAACATCAGATTTATGTCAAAGATTCTATGCACAGCTTTAAAATGCTATTCTACCTAAAAGTTTAAACAGGCCAGAATCAGAATTTTAGGAAGCAGAGGAATGACATGCCTCAGATCTGTTAATATTCAGACATGAAAATAAACCCTCAAGTAATTTTCAACAGAGGACTCTTACAAAACTGAAATCCTATTTGGAAAGTTATTTTGTTTTCAAACATTGCCATCAACACAAAAAAACAAACACACACACACACACACACACACACACACACACACGCACGCACACACGCACGCGCGCACACACACACACACACATACACACACACACACACACACACACACACACACAGAGTACCCTTGGATGCTGATTAGCTAACCTTATTTAATGAGTAATTCAAGAATTCATGGCCTCTTAGCAACTCAGGGAGCTAAGGCAGGAGGCCTGCAATTGAGCAACTTAGTAAAAGGTAAAATAAAGAATTCCAGGGGGCTAGGGATGTAGCCCAGTGGTAGAGCGCTTGCCTTCCACCTAAGATGCCACAGATTCAGTCCCAGAACCACAGAACTCACAGGGTACTATCAATGCCAGAGTGCTAATGCTGAGTAATAGGAAAACGAGACTACGAGACTGTCCTAAATGACACTTAACATTTGAGGTCATGTAATGAATGATAAGAGTGAATGGATGGCCTTTATTAGTCACCAGAACGCTATTATTAAATTCCTACTTCCTACATATATAATATACAAAGTCTCACTATGTAGCTGGTATCCAACTCAAGCTCCTCCTCTCTCAGCCTCTACATAGTGGGTTAGAGGTGGGTGATGCCACTCCTGGTTCACAGCCCAGTCTTCATTAAAAGCAAATGTTGCAAATAATCAAAGCTTGCGCGCAAATCCTTACTTGAAAATTCCTTCTGTTTTAGCCAAATAAATAAAGCCTTCATTAAAATACCTAGACAACTGCAATGAAGTAACCAGGAGCGGCTGAAAAAAAAATGAGCCAGAAGCAAATACCTCAGGGTAATGGGAAGTTTTTAATGTCTGCAACTGTCACAGGGAAGGCTAAAATGAACCTGTAATATTGGGTTGGAATTGGACTTACCATTGTGAGCCCAGGATTTTTATTATAATTCAGAGACATACACTAATTTATAAAGGCTGGGGTGTAACTCAGCAGTAGTGCACTTGTCTGGCAGCTATATGCTCTGGGCTCCATGCCCAGCAGCACAATAGCTATTTCTTTTCACATATGCATGCATATATATATATATATATATATATATATATATATATGTATATGCAGAGAGACATAACAAGAAACAATTTGTCATATATGAATGTGTATGGATGTATGTGCATACTTATATATATTTTCTACTTCTGTCTACTCAATGAGACTAAAAGCAAACAGCCCAGGAGAACAGAAGAAAAGACTCAGGCCAGTGCTGCAGCACAGGACATAAAAGCCTGAAACATTTTTGTGACAAAATGTCAGGGAACATTCAAAACAGACACAAGCATCAGATGGAAAGGGCTCCTACAGGCTGAAGCTGGAGCATTTTGAACATCAAAAGAAAAAATGGCAATAAAATATTATAGGCCATCAAGTTAAAAGGACTCCATACATCCACAATGACATCAATAAATAAACTCTTACAGATGCAGCTAACTAAAAGACACAGAAAGAATTCAGGAATTAGAGAATCATCATTTGGCAATCAGAGCAGTAAAACCTTTTTAGGTGATGATGATGGTAGGGAGGGTATTTACAAGCCCACAAATTCCATACAGATAGCACACATCTTAATCCCAACACTCAAGAGGCAGAGGCAGATGGAGCTCTGTGTGTTTGAGACCAGAACAGCTTACACAGTGAGACTCTGCCTTAAAAAAAATTATATATATATACACACACACACGTATGTATGTGTATATATGTATGTGTATATATGTGTATTTTGTATTATATGTGTGTATATATATATATATCGTGCATTTATATACATACACACACCATACATACATACATATACACATACATACATACATACATACATACATACAGGATTGAAAAGCCTCAAAGTTCTTTTCCACAAGTTACTCACTAATTACAAAGAGTAAGCATACAGGGGAGGGACTGGCAGGCAGCACCTGTACCAAGTGATCAACATTACCAGTACTTCTCTTGCTATCCTTGCCAATAAAGCATAACCAGGTTCTAGTTATCAGGAAACATCAGGCAAACGGAGAAATCCCTAAGAGATCCTTGCTCTTCAAGACTGTCAAGGTCACTGAAGAGCAAGGAAGCCTGAAGACCAGAGGTTTAGGACCAAGAATGGCAACAAAGGGCAATGTTGATCCAGGACTGGGTCCACAGTCAGAGGGGCATCAGGAGACAAGCAGAAAGATCTCAAAAATGTGTAGAGCTTAGCTCCTAGCCTGGTGGCAAAGCTGATTTGAAAGTTCTCATCTTTGGAAGACCCAGTATGTGAGGATGCTAAGAGCAGGTGTATGGGGGGTGGTGTACTATTTTATAACTTTTTTCTATGTCCAAAATTACTTAAAGATGAAAGATAGATATATATGTGTGTATATACATATATATATGTATATGTATGTGTGTATATGTATACATATATATCACACAATACATACATACATACATACATATAGATATATATTCAAATGTATGAGCCAAACTTTAATAAGAAAGAGGATAATTAGGTAGCAGTTTTAAATGTCTCTCCCACAAAGGGAAACAGTGATTAGAAAGGGAGAAAGAATAACTTCCCAGTAGAAACCCAGTAGGCACTACCTTACCAACAGACCAAAGTTAATGGATGTTCCGTGAGGCAAAACCAAGTGAGCCTCCTGACACAATATTCTGGGGATGCATCATCATGAGTGTCCCTGCCAAAGAGAACAACCTGTATCACACCAGGAGGGAGGGGCACCGGCAGACCTGAAGTGAGGGGCTTTCTCTAAAATTACTGACCAACACCTGTCAAACTGTCAAGGGCAGAGAAGAGAAAGACAGAGAACCAGCCCGAAATCAAAGGTATCCACGGCAACGGAGCAACTCAGTGTAATCCACAGTCCAAAACAGAATCTTCCACTAGACATTTTGTCCCTTTGTGATGAAGGGCATCCCTAGAACAACTGGGAAAGTAAGAGTGGATCCTGTAGATCAGACTGAGAGCGATTACAGTGCTGACTCCCTAGCTTCACAACTGTGGCCTGCTCACCTATAGATTGCCTGTTCTCTACAAGGAACATATTGAAGGCGCTGAAGGACCAGAACATTATGACTAACTCTTGCTCTCTCATGGCTTATACAAAGAAGTATGTGTGCAGAGCCAGAAATGCTGGTGCACACCTATAATCTCAGCACTCAGGTGGCAGAGGCAGGAGGACACTGGGTTGGACGCTTGCCGGTGCTGCATACAGAGGGAGACTTAGTCTCAGAAGAAGGAAAAAGGGGGTTAGATAGATGGCACTGGCTGCTCTTCCAGCGGACAAGGGCTTGGTTCCCAGCAGTCACACGGTCGCTCAAAACGCTTTGCAACTCCAGTTCCAGGAAATCCAATGGCATGCAAGTGGTATGCAGACATACACATAGGCAAAACACCCATACACATAAAATAAAAAGTATTTGTAAATAAGAAAGGTCAGAAGGGAGGGAAGGAGAGAGGGAGGGAGGGATAATAAGTGCACAAGTAGGAAAGAGTGGCAAAGCAGATGTCATTAAATATTAACAACTGGAAATGTCAGTAAAAAGATACAGAAATTCTTGGTAATATTTTTGTGCCCTTCAAGTTTGAGATTATAGTCATGCATCCCATAATAATGTTTTAGTCAGCCATGGGCCTAGTCTAGGATACCGATCCTCTATGAGTAAACTGCCTAGTAACGTCACAGTTATCTGAGTTTGAGCAAATATAAGTACATGATGTTGGCAAATGAGCAAACATCTAATGATACATTTCTCAGAATATACATCCATCATTAAGCAACATGTGACTATGCCTAAAACAAATTTTTAAAATAACTGATATTGATCGTTCAGGACCATAGGTCCCAGGTAAAACTACTGCTTTCGTTTTCCATTATACTGACAATAGGAAACCACAGGAAGTTTCTAAGACAAAACATTATACAATGGGAGCTAGCAAGAATAAAGTCTTAAAAGTGTGGCTCACTAGTAGAGTGCTTGCCTAGCATTCATGAGGACCTAGGTTCAAGCCACAGATCTGCAAACACATTAACAGACAAAGAGAAAGGTAATTTTTAGAAAAAGGGTTGAGTTAAATGTCAAGGGAGAGTGACCACTCACCAGCGGGAAAGCGGGACTTCGAGGCAACTTCCCAGACTCAAGCTGATGCATGCGAAGATACACTTCAACAGGAGGGGTGGCATCATTGATGAAGTGGACTACTGTCAGGGCATGAAGGACATCAGAGTACTGATCTTTGCGATAGGCCATCACCTGGGCATGAGAGTCATGGTGTGGAGGCAAGATTCCTACACAGAGAGATGGGACAGGAATGGGCAAATAATGAGACACCTATACACACACGCACGCACGCACGCACGCACGCACGCACGCACACACACACACACACACACACACACACACACACACGGTGAAAGGAATCCCAGGAGAAGCAGTCCACAAATAATGAGCATGGAGAGTCCCTTTCAGAAAGTCTCACTCTAACTCTTAAATGATGCATCATTGGTATTAGAGAGAAATGAGATGGTACCACAAAAGCCTTTGTACAAGTATGTGACCTGATTTCAGACAATAACCACACTGATTGGAATAATAGTTTAACTCAGTTCATGGCTAGCAGCTGAGGGTACCCTTAGCTCCTGGGGCCTCTCCTCACTTCTGGCGCTTGGCTTCCTACATCTAAGAACAGTTTGTCTAATCCTTTTCTCCCTCAATAGATAAAACATCCACAGAATATCCTATCACTGAGGCAAAAGAGGCCTATGGTCTTCATCAATAAGGTCATCTTACATTGCATTTCTGCGACACTCTACGGTCATTACTCACCTATGCTACCTGTTCATTGGGCTTTAGAATGAAACTCTGTGTGTGTGTGTGTGTGTGTGTGTGTGTAGAGGACGACTTTGTGGAGTCAGTTTGCTCCTTCCACCTTTACATGGAAGGTTCTAGAGAATGAATTCAGACTGCCAAACTTGTGCAGCAAGCACTTTCACTCACTGAGTCATCTCATCAATGTCTGCTTTGTTATTAATATATATGCAGATGGCATAGTAAAACAATGGGAGACTACTGGCCAGGTCTTCAGTGACGCTGGGCTCCAGTCTCAGGTCAGCTAATACCAGGACTGTCGCCAGAGTTTCAGTCTATCACAAATGTGAGCATCTGTGTCCTCATCTAGCAGAGGCTGGAAGTGGGAGAGACAAACCCAACACCAAATGTCTCCTGAAGAATCAAAGCCCCAAGCACTAGCAGAATGGTAGTGATGCATTGTTAAGGCTCAGTTTGGGTAGAACGATTTTTTCACTTTATTTATTCCAGTCCTATTAATGTAATGTGACTGTACCGAGTCAGGTGGGATCAAGATTTCTACATCTGCATTCTATCTAACTACAATTCACTGACCTAAAGATATTCAGCAATTCCCTGTCTCCTGTGCCTCATCTTGACCCCACCTGAAAATCAGAGATGATATTGCCTAAGTGTACAAGCTGTTGTGATGCAGAGACAAATTCATAAAGCAACCAAAAGAGCAACTGCCACATGCCTGTCAGGCAGTTCATTCCACTGCAGATCTCTTTTGATGCAAAGCCCCGCAGACCAATTATTCTAAAGAATGTCCCAGGAAATAGCAGTTAGACGAACTCAACAATATCCAGCCATAAAACACGCTTGAATGTCCTTTCCTGATGTAAACTCGGTGCGTCTGCGGGGCTATTTGCCAGGTCCTCAGAGAAGTCAAGGAACACATCTCAGTGTCCTCCACATCTGGTCCATACAGACTAAAGAGCTAGATTTGAACCTACCATAGGCAGCAGAATGTCAAGTATCAACCTGAGCCTAAGAGTTCATCCCAAAGCCCTCTGACATTTCCCTACAATGGTACTAGGGAGGAAGTAATCACAGAGCCCAGAGCAACCAAGCTTGGGCAAAAAAGAGCCCTTTATACTGTGCCAACCCTGCATTTCCAGTGGTTCCAACAACAGCAGAAAAACAACAGTGGCTTAGATGATAAAGGTAAGAAAAACCAAGGTTAAGAAAAGCCAGTTGGGCCTTGGCGTACGGGAAATGCCACAGACACAACATAACATTTCCCATTAATAAGACACACAGGGCATCCCAGAAGAAATGAACACAGATGATAACTGCCTAAAACGCACCCCTAGAAGGAAATTATTTTGATGACTACAGAGTCTTTATGTAAAATTCAAGGAAAAAATTTTCTAAGGAAACCTTAAACAGTTATCGTGAATTCTGTAGATGGTCACAGCGAATACCCAACCAGACACAAATGAGTGCCCCAAAGCTGCCAAGATATTCAACGAAAGGCCATCTGGAGTGCTTTCTGGAATGGCTTGCATTCCTGTGACCTGCAGACTGAGGACTGCAGATTTCTCAGGCTCTCAAAATACACTCCAAAAGGAGCATGTGGTCTGTTACCCAACCCCACCCCACTCCTGCCTTTAAGAGTGCTCTATAATCTTTTGATTCTTTGTCTGTCACAGTCCTTAGGCAAGGCTTTATTTTAGGCTCCTGGGGACTGTATCCATCTAGAATAGTTAAGACTTCCCTCAGAATTCAAGAATTACTGCACACAACTTATATAAACTATTTAACTTATGGTTGGAACCCATTGATGCCCAATAAACAGCAATAGTCCCTATACCTCAAAAAGTTCCATCCTTAGTCCCATACCACGCAGTAAACCTCAGTTGTTTAAGGAGGAAATGGAAGGTGATAATTAATGATGGTTAAATGCTCCAGCAGGCTTAGCAATGAGGGGAAACCTGGGCTCAATGAGCTGCTATGGTAGACACTGAGCCAGTTCTTCTTACTTGGCCATCCAGCTCTGGAATCCACTCACACCATTAGGCAGAAAAAAAAAAAAACCCTCTGATTTCTCCTTTAAAAAAATCTGTCATGTCATTTTTATTTCAAAGGATAAATGGGCATGTATGTACCTCAGCAAGAGACTGGTTCAATTAATTGATGAATAAACACCTGATTCTATGGAAACAGAACACCAGTGAGGAAGCTGTTCTATACTTACTCTTTGACCATTTCACTCTCTACACTCAGATGCACTTAAAGGAATCACACTCTTCAATCCTTTGCCAATGTGGTTCCTCTTGTATGGACGGGGGTGTCCCCTTTTATAGTTAAGGCTTTCCTGAGACTCACAGTTCAGGACTCAAGCTCTAAAAGACTCTCTAAGGGTTAGGGACCCACAGGCTTGCCACTAAGCCTGACCAGTTCCTTAGCATCAGGCCCTCATACCTCTACCACCAGAGTTCAGGGTACAATGCACTCTTAAGTAAAACCTAAAAGTAATTTAGCTCAAGAATGTCTCTGGACAGATGTAAAACTGGAGCCCACCATGGTGTTTCTCCTGGTTACCCAGACAATGGCAAAGATGGCCAGTTCTTCTCACAGCCCAATAGCATCACTTTGGCAGATAATGACCACAGATACCCACCAAGTGGACAGAGGCTTTATTTCAGGAATGAATAATATCTTCTCTACTGCTACTAATAAGAAGACACTCCAAGAGTAATTGTTAATCTAATTCTGCTGAAGTCACTATCCTAAAAGCTTTTACAGTGAGCAGTAACTGACCCTCCCAGAGAAGACCCAAAAGTCAGCAAAGAATCTAAGCCAGCCCTCCTCTTCTGACTGTAAGATGACAAAGGATCCCATTCTTTTGAAATTAAATCTCCCAACTTCTGGGTCTCATACCTAGAAGCACCTTCCATACCAATGCACGGTACATGGATGGGAGAGGGAACCTCTGGCTGAAGGTGCAAAGCTTCTCAATGTCTAAAGAAAGGAAAAGAACAATTAGAAATGTCATGTGGGCTCACAGCACCTGAAAATGCAGTTTCACTTCTTCAGACTGAAAGTCTAGTACAGATATGCCTTCAGAAGAATCCACTGCATGACCAGCAAATAGTGGTCTCACTTCTAACCCACAACTTCTACCAACTAAGCTATCTACAGTGCTTTTGCAGCATAGAAATGTATTTGCATGTATTACAACATTCCCTCTAACATTAGCAGTACATACTAAATACAGAATTGGGTGGGATACAGTAATGGTACAGCATGTCTCAGCATGTGCTAGACCCTGGGTTCCATTCCCAGCTCTGACAATAACAAGCACTTTACACAACTTGGCAAGTTTGTTTTTTTATACTATGGGTCTATTTTACTGTATGTAACAATACACTTTATTATTGTTGGCTTAGGATACACTAAGTATAAAAGCGTAATGAAGGGTTATCTTCCACAAAAGAAAATCATACCAGGAGTTCCTGCAGAGCTTACCTAGAAACCATGGTGGTACAGCTAGAAATCAAGAGGAAATATATAGGCTTAATTTTAAAAATATATAGTATTGACATCTTTTTAAAAGTGGAGGTGTCTTACTATGTATCCCTTGGCTGTCCTAGAACTTTCCATGCACAGCAGACTGCCCTTGGACTTGACTTATAGATTCACCTGCCTCTGCCTCTTGAATGCTGCAATCAAAGTTCTGCGCCACCACACTCAGCAGTGTCAAGTGCTGAGTTTCTTTTGTTTCTCAGTGGATTTGAAATTTTTCAACTTTTCTCAAATTAGACTACTCTGACTGACATGTCCCTTCACCAAAAAAATACAGCAAGTAATCAGTACTTCTTTGAGTCCATTAAGGTAATATTTACTTGTAACACCCAGCAGGACTGAGAACCAATCAGCTTGAGCAGACAAGACTCACCCAAAGGGTCATCCTTCAGGAGGATTTCCAGTGATTTCTTTTCTTCAACTCCACGAAACCCAACTTTCTCATAATAGACTGAGCGAAAGTTTCTCTGAGAGTCATCAGTCATATTTCATTCTTAGAGGGATTATTTTTAGTGTGCCTAAAACCAAAGAAAGAAGATTGGGAAGACATTAAGTGATTGTCTCTGCCTTTTCAATAAATCAAATATGAAACATTGCTGCCCCTAAGCAAGGATCATTAAATCTCTGAAGTCATACAACTCTAATCGAACCTTTATTGTGCATCTTGGTCAAAAACAAGATATGAGTCAACTGTCTTCCAAGCTACTAACACAGATGGCATAGAATATAGGCACTGGGGTTCATTCTTTACTTATGAGAGCCCCTAGCACAATGAAATATCATGTAGCCATTATAAACTTGAGACTAGAAAAGATAAGTGGGAAGGCAGGCAGGTTATGTTATACAAAGGGGGCTAGCCAAAGGGCGTGCACTCTGATTCTGTATCCAGTTTGACACGTAGGATTTCACTAAGTAACCCAGGCTGGCCTCAAACTCAGAGATCTGTGCCTCCTGAGTTCTGAGATAACAGGTGTGAGGCACTACTCCTGGGTCTAAGATAAGCATTAAAAAAAAGAAAGAAAGAAAGAAAGAGAGAGAGACAGAGAGAGAGAGGGAGGGAGGGAGGGAGGGAGGGAGGGAGAGAGAGAGAGAGAGAGACAGAGAGAGAGAACATCCAAAATATGAGCAATAGTTATGTTCGGGTAGGAGTCTAGTGACTTTCATTTTCTTTGTTTTGCTTAGCTGTGCTTTCTAAAATGGGCATTTGGGGAAATGGGGGGAGGGATCCTGCCCTTCCTGCCCTTGCCTTTATTTTCTTCTTCATCTGTAAACACAATTCTGCCAAATGTAATTATCAAAATTCAAAATCAACAATAGATAAACAGCACTATAGACGGTTAGGAATGCAGACAGATAACAAATGACACCACAGTCAATTGAAGGCAGAATACCAGGTAAAACCCTGCGTGAGCATTTAAATCATCTCAGAGGCCCATCATTCCTTCAGAACAGTCTTTGTGATACTGATGGTAAACCAAGAAAGATCGAACTAGGTTAGTGAGTCAGGCACTAAAGATACAAACACTCTTCCAAAGAATAAAGTCCTCAGCCACTAGATGCCCCGAGACGTCCCTGGTGACCAGAGGAGAATGAATATCTTCTTTGGGTCGGGAAGGTATCATCTGGACAGATTCTGGTACAGGAAAGGTTGAAATTCACTTTTGAAAAAGCAATTTAGAATTGCCTTTAAAGAGTTTCCGTGCTCTCTTGATAGCTGTTTTTAAAAATCCAAGGCATTAAAATGCAAAAATCTGGATTTTGTTTTTGTTTTTTAAGGCATTCGTGGTCCCTGTTGTTTCAGGACAGCCTTTCTCAGACTGCACTGTGATAGCAAAGGCGTCTTCGCCCTAAAGGACATGCTGCCAATTCCTGCCCAGGTGCCTCCACCTGCGGGTAAGGTGCCGGTACCCGGTGAAGCCCCAGACCCCGCTCTCCCGGCTTTGCACGCTTCACCTCTAGTGGTGCGAACACACCCGGGTTCAGACTAAGAGATCCCGGCAGGCAGCGGAGAGCAGGCCGGGCGCGCTGAGCCACAAGCAGGCAGGCGGAACCACAGGAGCCGAGGCGGAGCGAGCGAGGGGAGCGATGCCGCGGGACACCCATACCGGCTCCGGCCTTCCGGTCCGCTGCTAAGTCTCGCCGCCGGATATGACCTCACACCGAGTGCGCGTGCGCAGAGGGCATCTGTGGGAAGCTCCACCCACACCAGGGCACTGAAGCGGTGAAGTCGGGAAGGGCTGTGCTGTCGGAGCGGGTCAAGGTTCTGGACGCCCTTGTGCTTCGTCGTCTGCCCCTTTCACATTCAGGCATTTACTCTTGATGCCGAGGGCTCTGGCGATCGACTCTCTCTCTGTCCCGCCATGCGTGCTTAGGGTGCTCTTCCTTCTCGGGCCGCCGGGGTCCTGTCCAGTGGGGACTGGTATCTCTCAGGCAGTGTTTCTTCCTCTTCTCTGGTGGAGAATCGGAGATAAGCCTTTGTTTATTGATAGCAATAAGAGTTGGAGAGATGCTCTTCCTTGATTCAATTCCTGGTACCCGCGTTGCTACTCACAATCATCTGTAACTCTTAGTTGCAGAGGATGGAGTGCCCTCTTTAGCGTTCATGGACACCGGGCAAAACCTGGAGCAAGTCATAACATATGCAGTCTCCTTTCTCTTACCTCTGACATAGAGCTATTAGTGATGCAGTCACCAGAAAAGTGTTGGAAGGATTAGTGAGAGATGGGGCATGTGTGGTATGTGATGGCAGCAAAATAAGGGCTTCTAACTCCCAATTGTACCTTTGATGAGCTGATGAACTGAGTGTTTGGGCGCTCCTAGAGGAGATGGACTTCAAGGTTGTTTTCTGGTTTTGCAAGATGACCTTTCAAAAATGTTTCGTATCATTGCTCCACCCTTTCCTCAAACACAGGAACCCTCACAGTAGCACCTGAAGCTTTTCCTGGTTTTCCCTCTAGGCTCCATCCCTTTTGTTTCTAGACATCCTGCCTTAGGGCCTTCTCAAGATAGTTCCCTTGTCCCAGACCATTCCAGAAAACCAAGATCTAGCATAACACCTCAGCCTTTTTTTGGTTTTCTGAGACAGAATTTCTCTGTGTGACAGCCCTGGCTGTGCTGGAACTCCATTTGTAGGCCAGGCTAGCCTCGAACACACAGATATTCGACTGCCTGGGATTAAAGGCACGTGCAACCACACCCAGCTGCCTCCATCTTGTTTGTCCCACCCTGAGTCCGAGTCCCTAAACCAGCCGTCTTTACCCTGTAGTCTCCATCCTCCTGTACCCTGGTCTGACTTTTCTTCCACAGCTCTCATTATCTTCTGACCTTATGTAATTTACTAGGCTTCATCTTCCCTTCAAAATAACAGTTACACAAAGTCGGGAATCTGTGTTTTGCTGACGACATCCTGTGAACAGTGGCTGGCATATTGTAAATGCTTACTGTGGATATTCAGTGACTGAAAGGAATCCTACACAGTGAATGGGAGGTCCCTCTTTATTAGCATATATTTTGGTCGTGAGCTGTTCAAAGTCATTGCTAGTCGTCTTACTCCTACAACACAAGCTTAAGCAGCCCTTGAAGGGTTACTTGGTCTGTGTTTACTTCATCCATACCTATGGGAGGTTTTGTTTGTTTTTTGTTTTGTTTTGAGACAGGGTTTCTGTGTGTAGTTCCGGCTGTCCTGAAACTCGCTCTGTAGGCCAGGCTGGCCTTGAACTCACAGAGATCCTCCTGCCTCTGCCTCATCTAACCCTGTGTTTATGGTTAAGATGTCATTAGGGGAGCTGTAGAACTAGACATGTGAAAGGAACAAACAAATTTAATGTCAGGGCAAGTAAAGCAGACAGTATAATTTAATTGGAATAAAAGATACTTTTTGAGTAGCAACTAATAATTAATAAAATGTTATCAAACCATGAGGATTGCTATAATAGTTTAAATTAAGGCTGTTCACTGTAGATTGATGTGTTAAAGGTTTGGTTCCCTACTCGGTGCTATTGAAAAGCGCTGGAAACATTTAAAGTCTGGGCCTAGCAGGAGGTTTTAGGTTGCTGAGGACAACTGAACCAAACTGTAAGCTAAACTAAGTCTCTCCTTTTGCAAGAAGTTCATGTATCTCATGTCCTTGTGGCATTAACAGTTGCACCAACACACTTGGTGATTACGTAAATTCAGATAATCTGCACATCAATTCTCATCTCCACCATCTGAAGACAGCCAACCCTGTCTTCAAATGGTGGTGTAAGGAGTAAGGTTTTTCCTCCTGCCCCTGGTCTTGTCCTGCCGACGCGCCAGCCCCAAATAACACTAGCTCTGTCTTGATTATTAACCCATTTCTATTAAATATAAGTACTTCCACGTGGTCTTATCTTACTGGAGAGCCGACTGGCGTCCTGCTCTCTCCAGACTCTCCATGTTGACTCCTCTTTCTTACTTTCTCTTCCCTCCTTGTCTCCTAGTCCCTCCTCTCTTGCTTTCCTATTGGCCAACAGTGCTTTATTCATTAACCAGTATGAGAAACATATTTACAGAATGACATCTCCCATCATGGTGGAGCTCATTTTCCAACTTCATTTTCATTGTCTACCAGAAAACTGGATCTGTGCATCTGGTTTAACCCAGTCAAATAGGCAGAAGCTGTAGCAACACTTTCTGGTTGGGACCTCCAGCCTACAAATAATGATATCACTGACACAAAAATAACGACATAGAGACTTGTTATTAATTATGAAGGCTTACCTTAGGCTATCTAGTTCTTTTTTAAAATTTTTATTCATTTTTATTTCATGTGCATTCATGAATGTTTTGGTTTTTTGGTCTACACATATGTCTGTATGAGGATGTCGGATCCCCTAGAACTGGAGTTATAGACAATCATGAGCTGTCATGTGGGTGCTAGGGATTGAACCTGGGTCCTCTGGAAGAACAGCCAAAGATCTTAACCACTGAGCCATCTCCCAGCACCTTCCCCCCATCTAGTTCTTATGAGTTAAATTAACCCATATTTTTAAATCTCCATTCTTCCACTGGACTCTTTACCTCATCTCGACGCTGCTCATCCTGTTTCTTCTGAGTCTGGCTGGCAACCCTGCCTTTCTTCTTCCCATAGTTCCCTCTGTGTCCAGAAGTCCCATCTATACTCTCCTGCCTAGCTATTGGCCATTCAGCTTTTTATTACACCAATCATAGCACTATATCTCAGCAAAGTGTACAGATATCCCACAACAAGAACCAGCTTGTCACTGTATATATGGAAATTCTTCTAGGCATGGAACTGGTATTCTCTACGGGTCTGTTGCTCAAAGTGCTTGCCATCCTGCATGCCTGACCCAAACTGGATTTTAGACTCATGATGATTAATATTGTCAACTTGACAGGGCCTGGATCACCTAGAAGATGAACCCCTGGCCCTCTCTGTAGGAGTTTCTAGATTAGGTTAACTGAAGCAGAAAGACTTCTCCTAACTCTAAGTGGCCCATCCCATGGGTCTGTGAAATGGCCCCCATCACTTCTTGAATTCGAACACTTGGTCCTCTTGCTGCCATTTGGGAAGGTTGTGAAAGCTTTAAAATGTGGAATGTTGCTGGAGGGTGTGGGTCACTGGGGGAAAGCGTTGAGTTCCTGTTTACACTCCACTCTTGACTGGATCCAATGTGACCAGCACCTCCTGCTACCGTGCTTCTATCGCGATGGGCTATGTCTGCCCTCGAATTGTAAGCCATAACAAGCTCTTCTTCCCTTCAGGTATGTTTATCACAGCAGCAAGACCAGGAACCAAGCCTGATTGTTGGCGCAGTCTCCTTGAGTGATGGGAAAGTATTTGGAGTGGATAATGAGGAATTGTGAAGGCTGTGAGGGAGGGCAGCTCAGGTGTGGTCACATGCTGTGCTGGATAGTTTTATGTCACCTTGACACAAGCTAGAGTTATCTGACAGGAAGGACCCTCAACTGAGAAAATGCCACTGTAAGATCCCACTGTAGGGGGATTGATGATTGACAGAGGAGGGTCCAGGACATTTTGGGTGGGTATATCCCTGGAATAGTGGCCCTGGGTTCTATAAGGAAGCAGACTGAACAAGCAATGGGGAGCAAGCCTATCAGCAGGACCCCATCATGGCCTCTGGGTCATCTCCCGCCTCTGCCTCGAGTGCTGGAATTAAAGGCCACCACTGCAGCATCATAAACAAAATATCACCACCCTAGGATGCTTAATCAAATCTTGAGCAAAATGCGTGCCCATCAGGGAACCCCTCCACAAAGGTAAAATTTTACCATTGCTGGCAGCCCCAGGAATCCAGCTCCCTGTAATTCTCAATGGAAACAGCAGAGGGCAGCAACAGCATGAGTTGGGATAGGCTTTATCTTGCCAGCTAAAGGGAAAAACATTGCCAATGCAGACAGATTTTTGTCTGCAACTAGATGCTGAGGGAAAGACAAGACTTCTGTGCCCAGTGTATACCTTGCAGGTAGATGTTCCTGAACAAGGCAAAAGGACCTCTATTCACCACATACTGTTAATGTTTGAGGTGAAAAGTTCCCCAGAAGGTCATGTGATTGAATGTGTATTCCCCAGCTGGTGGTATGATTTAAGGGAGGTTTTCAGGCCTTAGAGCCTTTTGTGCAAGTGGATTTTTGTATTTTATTGAGATCCGAGGTGGGGTAGATAGAGATAGGTGTTAGATCTCTCTTTTAAACAGAAATACTATTAAGATACAGCCTGTGTGGTTTAACTGGAGTGCATGCCAAGGAATGCATCAGTAGGTGTTTTGAAGTTGGGAAACTCTTATAGAACGTACTAAACAAAATAAAACAAGATGTCACTGGATATCTTACTTGTTCTTAGAAAAACAGATGATGCGGTCCAACTGCTGGTGAACGGGGTCAGTGGTATTTAAAGTGTGTCCCATGAGCAAGTGATCGTCTGTCTGCACACATCTGTGGGGCAAGCATGACCTTTCAGAGCAAGTATATAGGACCTTTACAGCAATTTGACAGTTACATCTATTGAATCTTATAACCAAAGTTGAGAGTTTATGTTCTATATGTCCCTTTATTATTTCAGCGTTCTAGTAATTTGTGGCTCATCATTGGTCACAGAATCAGTCAAAAAGTCCTATTGTA